CGGCCCCGCAGCGGCGGAGCACAGAGCCGCGGTGGCAGTGTGGAGCTGCGACGGCGGAGCATGGATCTGCGGCGGCGGGGCAACAGTGGTGGGTTAGCGGCGAGGCGGGCAGGGCCAGCCCACGGGCCCCAGCTGGCAACGAGGGGAGGGGAGCTGCTTACCCCCGCGGGGCCCGGCTCATCAGTGAGCTGGGTCCTGCTGCAGCTGCCCAGAGGGCTGCGTGGAGCGGGGCTGCCCCAGCCGCGCCTGATTGGACGAGCTGGGGACGGGCTCCACCCCTTGCCCCTGGCACGTGGCCTGAGGAGCTGCAGCATGGCCTGCACCCTGCCCGCATGCATGGTGGATGGAGGCATGAGGTAAGTTCTCGCACGGAGCTGGGGGCACCTCGGGTCCAGCTGGGGCGGACAGAGGCATGAGGTATGTTTCTGTGCGGAGCTAGGGGCGCCTCGGGGCCGGGCTGGGGCAGACGGAGGCACGGGGTAAGTTCCCATGTGGAGCAGATCCATTTCATTGTCACTTCTTGCAGCTTCATTTGTGTCAAAGGTCATGTGACACCACTTCCTGATGTGATGTCACTTCCTGTGAGGTCTTTGAATACGGCTTGCCAGCCCACTGGGGGATAAAAAGTTCGTGATCCGGCCCTACATTCAAAAAGGTTGGACACCCCTGGCTTAGGCACTTATGGAAAGCAAACAAAATGATATGATACAAGATGACAAGAACAGAGACTAATATGGACATTTTACAATGCCATTACTTTAGTCAATACAATGCCATCACCTGAAGCACTGTGTTCAGTTTTAGTCACCCCATAGGAGGTATGGTAGAAAGAGAAGAGATTCTGAGATGGATGATGAGAATTATTAGAGGCATAAAAAATCATTAGTATCAAGTGTGTCAAACTCACCCCATTCCCCTGGATGGATCCAGACTATATGGTTCCTTGTGGGCCAAATCCAGAGGACAGGCTGTGGCTGTGGTATGGCCAGCAGCAGCATAGGCAGTTACAGCAGCAATGGAGGCAGCAGCTGTAATGGTTGGGGAAAACAGTGGCTGCGGTGTGCCCAGCAGCAGAAGCACTGGGGCTAGTGGCTGTGGACCAAACAGCTGCTTGCTACATGCAGCAGCTCAGTTTCTGTTCAGGCACAAGCCACAGTTCTCAACCAATAGCTACTACAGATTTCTTAGTAGCTGTTAAAGGATTAATCCAGGACTCTGCTCCTTCTTCTTGCTAGGGCCAGATAGAAGCAGCAGTCACCTTAGCTGCCATTAGACCCCAGTGTCTGCATGCTTCTATACCTCGTTGCTTCTATTCCAGTGAAAAACAATCAGCTTCCCTACTTTAGACCAATTTTGGAGGGCTGATATTGGACAGAGTATGCGAGTAAATAATATGGTATATTATTTTATTCTTAAGTTTGATATGAAGCATTAAGATTCTCCAGAGGCACAGGCCCTCATTTAAACTGATAGTGGACGTTGATCCATAAATCATTGTGGCTGTTTCAGGAGAATCTTGCCTCCAGATGCTATTTCTATATGTAGATAGCAAGGGCCTCTTTCTCTTTTCCCTTCACCCTTATATTACAGCCCTTGAAGATTTCTACAGCAGAAATTGCCATACCATTATGAAACACAGGAAAACTAGTCTCTTTAGCACCTACCCCCAAATTGCAGTTTTGGAGCACAAAGTAGTGGCATCAACAGAGAATGGAAACTTGGCTTTCCTCCAGTAATCTAACACACTAATATCCTTTCAGCTTAACTTTGGTTACTGGATCTGATATCCAGGATATACTTAACAAGATGCTGTGTACTATCTAATTTGCTTCACATGTCTAAAGTGTAAAATTCTAACACACATTACTAAAACAAATGTTTTATCTTCTCAAGACTAATCTGCTATGGCAGATGCACTTTCTCAAATGTATAAATCTACTTGAAAACCAATCTGATAAAATTTCATGCCTGCAAAATGATGATTCACTTATATCAATGTACTTGTCACTCAGACCTTTAAAAAAATAAATATAATACCACAGGACCGGGCGGGTGTTGAAAATATGCAATGTCTTGATAATAGGAAAACATAGCCACAAAGTATAAAGGAGAAATATCACTATAAAATGTTCCAGTTAAAATTTTTTAAATTCATTCTGTAGGCTTCTTAACACAAAGAAACTTATGAAGTCTTTATAGTTTTATAGGGCCACAATAACTCTCCTCTATGATGTCTGCCTTATTAATATACTAAAAATATCTTCCTCATCTTTCCCATGTTCATATTTACACCATGTATTGGAAAAATAATGAGTTAGACATTTCTAATATATATTTGTGCTACCAACTAAATGAGTTCAGTGTTTACCCACGTCACCATATTTCCTAACTACTTCCACCCACCAAAATTTTGTCTAGATCAACTGTAAAAATGTCAGTGTCACTCAGGACCAGAACAAGCATCAGACTTGTGGGACCCAGTATAAGTGGCCTTTACACTCCTATCTTGGGTGACTTTCACTCTTAGCCAACTAGGATCTCTTGTGAGTTGGGCCCCAAAGCAGTTGCCCAGACTACTCACCCCTCTCTGGTTAGTACAATTTCCATCTAAACATATCTAGGCTGTATTTGATTTTTGTAGACTGGAGATGGGATTAAGGTACAGTTTGCATTAGATTTTTCAGTGAACAGTGTTGGTCTTTCTCA